CGTAATTTGTTCAGCCAGAAATAACAGTGGATGAATATATTCCAAAACAATAATTATGGTCTGCCTTAAGGCCCCAAATCTTGTTATATACGCGATATCTTTTAATGAGCAAGAAAGTCGCTGCCAAGTGCCCCTAGTTATACCGAACTACTAATGTAACGCTTCTACTGGTTCGGAGGGGGGGGACGAGGGGAGTGAATAGACCAGGCTTCTGGTCGTCATCACTCCCGGCTCGGACTGTCCATTTCCATGTCCACACTTTATCTCCGAGGGTAAATGACAGAACCGACAAGGGAGGCAGGACGTCTAGGCAACGTACTAGTAGCCCAACAGGTATGACTACTAGATCGATTTGTTGAGAAAACGACAAGGATCTGTTGTTTGCGTAGCTGATATGTGCATAACTAAGGCGGCAGGAGTTTCCTTGGTAGCGCACGAATGTCATTATTTATATTTACATGCCTACTCCTACGCTTCTCGTAAGACAGAAACTAGGGACTTTTCAGATACGATATCACTATCCCACTCTAACCCCAATCCTAACCCCTACCCTAAACCTAACCATAAAACTTACCCTAACCCTTACCCTAACCCTAACCCTTAAACTAACCCTACACCTTACCCTAACCCTTACCCTTACCCCAACCCTAACCCTAACAGAAATTCATTGAGTAGGCATGTAAATATAAATAGGGACATTCGTGCGCTACCAAGGAAACTCCTGCCACTAAGGCTTTCTGTTCTTTATTCAAAAACTGTCTAAGTGAAGGATAAGGCAATGTGAGCATTGGATTACTCTGTTTATTGTTCTAAGCTTTCACACTCGTACAGGAGTGCATTGTCAGAGATGACAGCAAGAACAAAAGGTGGATCTCACTGATAGTTGACTGGTTAGCACTCCCTATAATTGTTCCCCCCCCCTTTTTGTTGCTGGTGTTCCCTCTGATGATGAACTGCAGTATGAGTTTGGAAGCTCATGTAACGCGAATCTTTGCATTTATTCGTGGGAAGCTGACTGTTTTTTTGTTTAAGGCCCTCGCTAATCATGTTCTTTCATTTTCTTTTTCAGTGGCTTCAAACCCTACGTCAGTTTCTGGTACGAAGGGGACATTGGGTGGGCTCATCAGGTGTTCGAAAACTTCACGGACACCGGACCCCATACAAAGTACTTGGAGACCTATAAACTTCCCGAGGAGTGCAACACCGCTTTGACGTGCATATACGGCTAGTGACATTTTGTACAATAGTCCAGACGGGCGGCGAAATTCCGAGCCGCTAATGTGGTTTTTGTTGACACATGCGACTGAATTCCCCCATAAAATGTCCCAGCTCAGTGTTGGATGCGTTAGAGTTGACTCCTTGAACTGTCAGAGTCCTTTGCATGAGGGGGCGGAAATGGTGCCTTCAGATGGTGACTTGCTTTGAATGCCACCCTTTTATTTTTCCCCACATGCACATTTATTGAAATTATATTAGTAGTATTTATTCACGTCAATTTTATTTTGTTTGCGGCTGGGGTGTTGATGAACGCACACAAAGGCTCGAGTCTCACGTATTTCCATTCTGCTTTGAATCCAACCCCACCTGAATTCATGCATGAAGGGGCGTTCGCCGTTACGGCTGTCGGTGAAACTAAAGTTTAGCTGACGCAAACGATCTTTATTGCGTCAGTCAG